AGGACTCACCATTAGTTTTACTTTCAACCCAAGCGTTGATAGTTTGCCTCGTTTCTTCTGTAGACCGTTCAAAATCAACAGCTTGCAGCCTGGTTTGATACAATGTCTCAGAACAGCTTAAATATTTCTGCAAAAGAAAGGACAATGGCACAACACAAAAATAATGTAAGGAAAACAAAAATCTACAGCTCAATGTATTCTAAAATCATAACACACAAGAAAAGCAGCTCATGTACAGACGTCTGAAAAGGAAGGAGAATCCGTATACGCTTATTCTTAATAAAACAAAGACATGTAACCAGATCAAAGAGCTTTCCAAAAAACAATTCCCAAAAATGTTTGGTTGTTACTTCTGTTATATCATGGGCATTCTTAGTTTTAAAACGTTCAAAGCAAAATGACAAATGGCAGTACAGCGCCTACCTTTTCACTCTATCCCTACTCTCTCCTCTTCCAAGCAGAAAAACAGGAGTTATTGCTCTAACATTCCAGACAGGAAAACTGAGGACCAGGATGAGTAAGTGATTTGCTTGTTTGAGGTCTAACAGAAGATTAGGTATATTTCAACCTCCTCACATGCTACCACAAATAAAATTAATAATAATGTTCTCTGATATAGACAGTTGACTTCATGTAAAATATAAACAAAAATATCTTAAGGTATTCACTAGTTTATTCACATATGTTATCCAAGTAAAAGTAACATACATCAAAAGTAACATTCTTGAGACCTTGAGGACGTACCTCTCCAGTCCAGCAGGACCCAGTGCCCCACCATCAAGATCTAGGATGATATGAGACTTAGAAATATGGCAGGCATGAAAGTGGCTGACCAGGGTTTGGCTTGCCATTTGTTTAGCTGGGTTCTTTTATGCCTAAACCCAGTGTGGAACTTAAGGAAAGCTGAACTAAAAGTATAATTCTTGTCCTGGGAGTTTTTCCAGACAGAATCCTGGGGCAATAATACCTTATGACACAGCTCATGACAAACTTCATGATACTAATGAGGAGCTCCTCACTTCAGGAACAGGTGCAATCATCATTACCCCAAATCAACATTTATCTACTATCGTGTCCAGATCGCCATTTTGGGGAGACAAAAGGATGAGAATGTTCCAACTCCAAGGACCACGATTGTTAATCCCCACCACTCCCTGCACTCATCACAAAACATTCCCTATATGCTTCTAGGGCAGTAAAAGAAAACACCTCTGAAACATCTATAGTACCAGGGTGGGCTACCCCAAGTTGCAAAAATTCTGACAATCAAAAACTTGTCACATGTAAGATACAGCCTGTACCACCAGACTAAATTCAGGGCTGCACCCTGCTTCACCTAGCTGGCATTGAAATAACACTTGTCAAACAAAAGATATGTCACTGAAACCAGAATTTCACCTTGGTCACAGCAGGGAAACGCAGCAGTGAAAAACAGGAAGATGGATTTAGACAGGGATCAAATCTAGGCTTTGCCAGTTAATTATAGATGTGACCTTTGTCATTTGACTTTTCAGAACCTGCTTCACAATTGTAGGATTAATGGCAATTTTGTACCTATATTTTAGGACTATGTAAGGGTAATATGAAAATGCGTATAATGGATTAGAGTTTTGGCACATAGTAAACACTCAATAAAGCTAAATATATTACATTGGGCAATGACATAAATAATGTTAGAATTTTGTGTCTCAAAAATACTTAGCTTAATCCTCTTATTTTAAGGACGGAAGTGGCTTGCCCAAATCATTTATCTAAATAGGAACAGAACTCA